GGCATGAGCTATCCTCGCTGAAAAACGAACGCAAACACAGGAGTCGTTGAGGCTCTGTGATGCGCCGCTTGCAGTTGTCTGTCGAAAATCGCGCTCGACTAACACAGCATCGCGCTGGAATGATGCTCGTCACGCGGGGGCGCTGGGGCTCTACAGCACCGTCCAGGGGGCGGGACAACACCGAAGAGATCAATGGTTGTACTACCAGCCCGTATATCATATATCATCGATAGTCATATATGGATATATATATGTAATATATATATATTATATATATATATATAATACGGTGCTCAGGAACTCTGTGAGTACTTGACGGCGGTCACATGGCGGGTGTGATCCGTGTGGTATTGACGGAAACGGTGAATTACCGTGGTTACTGCTGTATGTCGTCCTGTAATACTAGACTCAACGGGATGTTGTCCTATAGCTCGTGACGATTGCGTGTGTTGTCGTTGTGCGAATGCTCTTATATAAATGTCAATTGTTTACTAGCGACTACCGTACATCAATCAGCCGCACTCATACACCACTGCAAATCCCTGAGAGTAACGCGCATATCACGGTGGGGCTGTGTTATTAGCTTGATCACCTGTTGATACAAGTGGCGCTCGTGGTTATATTATATATGGATGTGTTGCGTGTGAGTGTCGACAGGGATGGGTCGTGTAGTGAAGTAGGTCTCTTGTTCTACGATGGTTGTTTTGTTGCTCAAATGTATGGAATCATCATGTGATAATAACCTACATAAACATCTGGTTTAGGCGACCCTTCGCTTGACTACCGATTATGTAGCGTGAGTCTTCACACGCAGTCCACACTCAGCACGCCTAAATTCGCGTGGTACGAGAGAAAGAGTTAGGACAGGGAAGAAGGGTCTGTGTGCGTGAGGAGAACGAGTGCGTTTGGGGGTGGAGAAATGAAAGGAAACGAGGAACTAGCCAGACTGATAACCTTACACAACACGCGCGAGGGCCCTAGGCGAACCGAAGCAGGAGAGGAGGTTCATGTCAGACGAGAGTAGGAGAGAGAGAGTGGATGAAGATTGAGAGGAGGAGAGGAGAGAGAGGTGGTGTCCGACGTGATGCGGAGAGAAGAGAGAGAGAGACGACGTGGTGTGAGGACCGGAGTCGAGGACGAGATAATAGAGGACAGAAAGACAGATTAGGCGTGGGGAGTGGTGGGCGGCGTGACGGTGACGGTGTATTTTAAACAGATATAGGACGTAGCAGAATAAGCAGATAAAGAGAGAGTGAAGGCCTCGACGGATAAGGCCCGTTACGATGTTAACCTTTACACAATCCACGCATAGCTACGAGAAGATGGGCAGAATGGATAAGAAGAGAGAAATGAGCGGATGAGAGAGGACCGAGCGCGAAAGAGAGAGAAGCGCGAGGAGAGAGACGAGAGAGATGAGCGAGAAGAGTTAGAGGAGGGAGAGCGAGAGACCAGTGTAGACGGTGACTGAGTTCGTTTTGTGAACGTACCTGGTAAGCTGTCCAGTACACAGCTCAAGACAGAATTAACGAAAGCTGAGGAGAGAGAGACGAGTATAGAGAGATTTACGAGAGGTAGAGGAGAGTAGGTACGAGAAGCGGACGGAGTGAGAGAGAGGTGACTGGAGAGCGTTGAGCATAGAAGTCGCACTGGCATCTATGTGACAATATTCACCCTCGGTGGCTAGCTGCCGCGAGGTGGTACGGCGGTGCGAGTCGGACGTACTGGTAACTCTTACCGCATTCAGTGATAGGACTTGAGACGGTTTCGATTACACGGCCAACTTGACCTTCACAATTCCACGCGTATCTGTTGTGACGATGTAGAGTGTCGGGTCGTCATTTGTAACCGTTCACGCTCTACAGCCGAGCTGTGTTCGGCGAGTACGCATCTGTGTGATGGGCGCGTTTACATTGAGCGCGGTGGTTTGGTTAGGGGGGGTGTTATGGTTGGTGCTGTGACTTGCACCTACAATACGGCCTAGCTTCCGAGACGGGCTGGGTTCTGTTCGTGTGTGACATGTATAGCTGCCACTCTACTCCACGGATGCTAGGCTTACGAATCGGGACGAGGGCTTCTATAAATGGGAAATTGCCCCAGGTTAGACGATTCGGTTTCCCTTAGTTTACTTGCATACTCCTTACACAAGCAGACGAGTCTCTAGCTACTGGGATTTAAAAGCAACTATCGTGACCTGTAACTTACGCTCGTTTCAACAAATCCACGAGGTTTCCCTGCGCTAGTACGATTTTCGTGAACGTCTTTACGGGTCGGTTTCCAGGGCAATGGACTGACGAGAGGCGAGACGCCGTTTGGTTTTGGACTGCAAAGCCCGTTCAGGCATCACTGTCCCACAACCGACAGTAGCTGGTCGCTTGTAGCAGCTTGGCAATGATATTGCGATCGGAGCATGAGATTCCGCTGATATTTTTATGAACTGATACACTGCCAGTGTGTGTACTTGTGTGATCTAATCGTTAAGCAACCCCAAAGCAGCCGGTGTCGTGTGTTTTACAAATCATATGGTCCCGAAACATGGCTCACAGTCACTACATAAAGTAACTGCTCGTGTGGGTGCTGTGTGTGTGTGTGTGATCGCTTTAAGATCGTTCGTCGCGTATGAAAATTGTGTTGTGATGCCGAGAATAACTTAACGGACTTCACTTACTGTTAACTTACCATTCCCACCGAGGCTGCTAGATGTTGTGTTGTTGGCCCTGCTGCGAGTGTCCACAGGTCGAGCAAGGTGTCCGCCATCTCCGTGAAGCTGAAACTTGTTCTTTCTGCCTACCAGCTCCACCGTTATTTCTGCTGTCTCGGCGTGTTTTTATGCTGTCTGCGCTAGAAAATAGCCTCTCTCTCTCTCTCTCTCTTTCTCTCTCTTCTTTGCTCTCTCTGCTTATCTCTCTCTCTCTCGCTCGCGCTCTTTATTCTTTCGTCGTGGTTCTCTTCTCACTCGCTCTCTCTCACCCATTTCTCTCCCCCTCTCTCTAGCGCTTCATCCTTTCTCAGCTCACTCGACTCTCGCTTCGCTTCCTCGTCTCTGCCTCTCTCTCCTCTCTCTCTCTCTCTCT